GGGGCCGGGACCCCCACCACGCCCACGGCCCCTGGCCGGGCCGGGAGCCGGGCAGCGGGGCCACGGCGGCCCGGTCTCTCTTCCCGGTCCCCTCCGCGCCGTTGTCGGGACGGAAATTTCCTGGAAGGTTTGGCGGTATTTTGCAGGGATGAGGAGCGTAGGGCGAGGCCCCGGGCTGTGGTGCCAGTACCCGGCTGGCCGTGCGGGCGGGAATGCGAGGCCTTGGTGGGCTGAACGGGGCCCGGCAGAGGCGCCCGGCCGGACCCGGACAGGTGCGGGCAGCGCGGAAATCTCAGCCAAAATGACCAACAATAAAGTTGCTGGTTAACTGAGGACTCGTCGTCTTGTGCCGTTTATAACCAAGGGGTCACGATAGACGAGTTACCTCTCGAACAGATGTGAGCTGAGTGCCAGGAAGGCTCGGAGGCTGTTGGTGTAAGGGAAGGTGTACCCCGTGCCCCAGCGCTGGCTGCGTTTGCATCATTGAAGGGCATGAAATCGGGAAATGGGATCGATCGGCTCGCAGTGACACAGACGCAGATGGGTGGCATCAGCATTTGTCCTGTAACACACATGACAGATGGGAGAGAGACGGGACCCTGCCATTATCAATGTCTACTCAACTTTTCTGTGTGTGGCAGGTGTTCTTCGGCAGACCTGTGTGTGCTAGCCACTGTTCTGCCTCCAGAAATTATGTAGTTGGTAGTCCTGAAGAGTACTGTCGAGGTTATTCACAGACAATCCTCTTGGAAAACAACAACAACAAAAAAAGAATGCGTTCCAGTAATGTTTCTGTGGCTATAATATATATTCTGCAGCACAACAGCAGTAGAAAATAAGCATCTAGATTTACCAATTTCTTTGAGGCTTAACCAAAAAGATTTTGTTCTGAAAAGAGCTGTCAGATAAAAGCTACACAGTGTGCTTGGTTTGCTTTTGGGATGGCAAAATTATTGAAAACAATGATCTGAATATTTCTAGGCAGCAAGTAACACAGAAATCTGGATTTCAGCTCATTCATGGAGTCTGTTACATGTAGTAACCTTTCCTTGGAATTTTGGTAGATGGCAGTTATTGTCAGTTTAAAAAGTTAGCTTTATCAAAAAACGCTTTGGCAAAATGGTAGGAAAAAGGAAAATGGCAGGCACCACTTTAGGCAGTATCCAGAGCCTGGCTTTAACTGGCTTGCAGGAATGGAGAAATTGTGTCTATATATAATCACTAGCATACTGTTTCTAAACAATAAGCTAGCACTTGCTTTCTTTTTGCTTATGTGGCCTGTGGCATGACAGTTGCAATGTAAAGGCAGGATCCATCTGCAATTCTCTAGGACACGTGAGATGGCTCAATCCGATTCATTCTGAAGCCTGTGTGAGTTGCTTTTATGCTGTGCGTTGAGCGGGTGGTCATACATGGGCTTGGCTGCTGGCACTTAGAGCTATGGCATTATATTGGGAGAAGCTAGGAGCACTGGGTGTTACTCTTCAGACTTCAGGATTTGACAGTCACAGCAGTTCAAAGCTTAACTCTTATTTCTGGTAATAATTACATGAAGGGAGGCAATGTTCAGAAATTGAATGAAAAAGAATGTTTAAGATAATGTCAAGATATGAAACATTAAACACTGAAACTTTGAAAGTCTGGTACCTTGTTTCGTCAACATTTAGAAAAGGTTTTCAAGGTTCTTCCTTTAGTGCTTTCAAATGTAAATCTAATGCCATTCCACCTTTAAAATTTTGCTTAGAAAGAAATTTGACTTAAAAAGTCAAATTTGACTCTAAAGTACTGAGTTTTGCAGTAGTGTTATAAAGAAATTTAGTTTTTGGAAATTGATGTTTTAGTGGCAAGACACTTGTTAAAAGAGGAAAACATGACTATGTATGCATACTAAACAATACAGGTAAAGAACCTTGGTAGAATAAAAGCAAGTGTCAGCAAATTCAACAGTTTTGGCTGAAAATATTGGTCTGGTCTGAACTATCTTTGTAAAATTCTTACTTGCCCTGTGGCTTGAGAGGAAAAAGCTACTTGGCATATTTGGTTACTACCTCAACAAAGGAAAAATAACCTACTCAAAAAAGTTACCAGATTTCTGAAAGGAAAAAGGCAGGACTTACGGATTGCTGTTTTAATAAACAGATAAGCTTAGTTTTTCACAAAAAATGCTAGGAAAGTATCAAAAACTTAAGGTAATCTGGGGATTTCAGTCAGGTTACTGAAGGAAGGAGGTGCTGGTGCAGTGTGTTCATCACTGCTTTCCTCTTCCAGCTTCTGCAGAATCAACTGAACTGGCTCCATTCCGCTGCTCATCTTGTTTATTTTCCCCTCCAGCTTGTCTCTTCTATTGCCAAAAAAGAGAAAGTGTGGAAACTTGGTTTCTGCTGCTTGCTCTGTATTACTGGCCCATTCCTTCTTGATGTGAAAATACACGAGTTTTTAGTCTAGCCATATATATTGGGGCTAACAGTGCTTGTGGATATTAGCCAGCCTGGGAAAGAGCCACCAGCTGCTCTGGGACAGCTGGATCTGTGTGGAAAGGGCCTGTGGTCAGTGGCACCGGGGCTTGTGAGATAAGACATAGACTGTTAGTTACATGGATTGGGAAGGTGGAAAGGTGGCAATGCCCTCTTTGGATTTCATAAGGGAAAGTTTCCTCCCCGTGGGCCAGGGGAAGGATCCTGGTACAGCCCAGATGCTAATGAGCCATGGTGACACTGTCTGGTTCTCTCAGCATCAGTTTGCTTTTCCCAGTGTTATTCTGCTCTGGGGGAAAACACTGAATGTAAGGGATTAGAGAAGCCTGAGATGGAGAGAGAGTGCAGCATCTGGTTTTGTTCTAGCTATGTGCTAAGGGGTTTAGCGTTACATTTTTGTGTATCTGCTGGAACAATGTCCTGTGAATGCATTCACCAGTTAGTATTTCTTGCTGCAGGTGAGAATTTAGTGGGAAATTAGGATCCCCGGAAGTCACTGAAAAATAAAAGGAAATTGAAGGTGTATTTTCAATTGAAAAATCTTTCTGCTTAACAGGAGCGGGTGCAGAAAACTCAAATAAAACTCTAGGTCTCTGTTGTTCCGTACTGATTCACAGCTTTACATTTCTCGTGATAAGGTGTGGCAAAATGAATGATGCGGTTACTACCTACAGCTTTAGTTATTGTTCTGTCCTGCTTCTTTGGCAGGCACAACTGCATGGAATGTGTACCAAGTGCTTCAGTTCATTGCATGTCATTTTCTTCTGCCCCTCTTGTAGGGTAGCAATTTTGAGAGACAGGGTGAATAAATACCACATGAAATACTTAAATCACAAGAGGCCTTTAGTTTCCCTTCAAGAGGGCAGTTTGCAAATCATTGCCAGATAGCTTCCCCATTCTGAAAACAAAAACCTTGTTTCTTCACATTTTTTTTCTTTGTTTTTCCTTTTATATTGATGTAAACTTTAGTCCTGACTTTTCAGTGCTAGCAGGTTTGGGCATACATTCTTTAGTTATCTTTTAGCTGAGCCACTGATACTGACTGCACTCTTAAGAGTGCTTATAAGATTAAACAGGATGCAAGATTTACTTTGAGATACTGATGTTTTAATAGTTTAGTATAGACATTATAGGAGCAATCTGAGTTGTGGGCAGCTGACAGGAGCAAACTTTTTTAAGTATCCTCTAAAATATTTATGCCATGTGTCAGTGTAAACCTGTATGTTCGTTCACTTGCATCTTATCAGTGAACCTTCTTTGCTGCTGGCTTGGAATGTTTTTCCTTTTATTTCTCCATATTTATTTGGTTAATTTCCATGCATCAAGTAGTTTGTATATCCCTAGAAATAATCTTCTTTTATTAGCGATGGAAAAACCAAGCAGAAAACCACTAACAGAATACATTGTCCTGCTGTTCTGTATTCTGATTTTTCTTTTGCTATGTAGTGCTGAATGTTTGTGCCCTGTACTTGTTTGCTGTCCCTGATTGTTGATAAAATCAGATAGTGGCATGGTCATTTTAGAGACTGACATGTCACTTCTGATATGCTTATCTCTCAGTCTTGATTCAGTCCATGTGTATGCATGGAGGAGCTTCAGTGTCTTTCTAGCACTGGAGGCTGAGGATAATGTACAACCTGTAGTAATTGTTTCCTGCAGTTGTACGCAGCACTTGCTGCTGGAGGACTGAGGTGTTGGAAACCCTCATGCAATTTGGCAGCCACACAGAGGTAGGAGATGGTCTTGTATTAAAAGGCATTGCAGTGTTTGCGTGCTGAAATTGCCATGCAAATGTGATGAAAAATCTGCAAATGGCTACTTGTCTTTAAAGCAAGTTGTAACAACTTGGCAGTCTAAAGCAAAATCTGAGAGGTCTTGCCCATCTGAACCTTTTAGGATTAGATGTCCCAGGATTTTGCCTGTTCTAGCATCTACTTCCATCTAAAGTAGTAGGTCTTCCTATTAAATGGGCCCGCATAAGAACTGTTGGCCTTTTTAGTCACCCAGTGACTGCAGTTAGTGTAGGCAGGGTGTTGTTTCTATGCTACACTGGACTGCTGCCTTTCCAGAACAACTTCAGGGACACAGAGTTTAGTTTGTGTCATGGTTTTGAGGGGTCTTGTTTGTTTTTTTATTTAAAGAAGGGGGATTAATTAGGAATGGTGTAGTGAGAACAGTGTTTTCTCATTTTCTGAACATTGTTGTATGCATTACAGAACTTGTGCTGAGCTTGACAATCAGAGAATGGGGTGATTGACTGGAGTTTTGAACATCTGAAATGAAAACTGCAATGTGTGAGCATGTAACTGTTTGTTATGAGATGACTGGGATAGCAGTGGCCACATTTTCCTGCAAGGTCATGTTTATCATCCCTTGGGCTCAAAGAAATACTAGTAGGGTGACTTGGATGGCATATTAATTACAGTTGCTATATTCAGATGGCTTGATCTAGATTTGAATTGAATGACAACTCTGGCTGAAGTTCTTCCATCAGCTTACTTGGATTGAAGTAGTGTGCTGAGATCCACTCCCTCCCTCACTGTGACATCAGCCAGGCAGTGGAGGAGGCTCATGGGGCAGCTGGGCTGGCTTTGTCTGTGGTGGTCTTCAAGATGTGGCTGGAGAAAGCCCTGAGTGCTCTGCTCTGAGCTTGGAGCTGACCCTGCTTTTAGCAGGAGTTGGAGTAGAGACCTCTGACAGCCACTTCCAACATGAATTATCTTGTGGTCCTGGATCAGGACCTGGTTATGCTGAGCATTATGCAGAGGGGTGTTAGTCTGTCCCTAATCTCCTGTCCCTAGGTTGTCCTGGCAGCTAAAGATCTTCCAGTAATAGCGACAGAGGTAATTTCAGTTGATGTTAGGCTGTTTTCTTTATCTGAGTCAGATCTGCCTTTTTCTGTTTGCAAGCGTTTTCCTGTCAATTTTGCTAATCACTGTTTTAAATTCATGGTTCTGATAAAGGTCCACACAAATTCCCACTAATGGTGAAATAATACATCCTGTAAGTAGATCTGGAAGTGTGCACAGAGAAAAGAAGAGAAGCAAAGGTATTACCTTGAGGATGCATTAGTCTAATGTGACCAAAACTTTCTGTAGATGCAGCAGAGATTTGAAAGAGATTCAAGCAGGAATTGTCTTTTGAAGGCAAGCTGGGCTAAAGAAAGCAGGGTGATTTCTTATTGTTGCTGGGTCTTGGCAATAAAGATTCAGATGGAGTAGCCTGCAGGAGAGGTGAACAGAAACCAGTTAGTTATCACATCATGGCAGAAATTTGAAGAATATTGCAACCCTGGAGGAAGGAAATAATTTTGAAGAAATGTTGCACAGCAGATTGAAAAAAGAGAGGGAAAGAAAGATTAAGATATTTAAAATACCTTGTACTGGGGCCGCATAAATATTTTTGAGACCCTGAATTAAATTCTAGGAGGGATCAGGGAGCCGAAACTGAGAACAAGACTACCAGAAAACCCTAACTTAATTTTGGAGGCAGCTTTTTGGATTTACCGGACTACAATTTTAATTGTTTCAAAGTGCAGAAGGAAGAGAAAGGCATGATTCTCTTAATGATGTGTGATGTCAGTTTTGGTGATCGTGACACGCAGGATTGTGATTATTACAGAAAGCTGAGTAAGCAAACTGCAGACCCTTTGGGAGATTGAAAAGCAAAATCTCCCAACAAAGAGTCTGCAACATGTGGACAAAGTGAATTTATGTGAAGGTTGGCACATGGAAGGTTAATGCCTAAGATGCTGCCCTTCCTTTGGGTAGAACTGCCGTGTAAGAAGTGAAGCTGGTTTACAAAAGCCCAGCCAAAAGGACCCGGAGTTCTTTATAAGAGCGTGTCTAATATTCTGTACAGTGAAGAGGATCTGGAATAGTCTTTTTCTCTTGAGCAGCTCCTAAGGTTCTGTCCAGCTGTTGTCGGAATGTGAGCAGCGCTCGTGTTATTTGTGTATCTGTGGCCAAGTGTAACACCAGACGTTGCTTGAAGGTTTCAAAGTGAAACTCAGCCCTGTGGCCACAAGCAAAGTGCAGATTAGTGAGAGGTTAAATGCTCATTTCTGGGTAGGTGTAAAAATAGTACAACATTGCTTCTCCTGCCCTCCCTCCTTCCCTCCCTCTTCAGGCTAATGGGTGTGCATAAAAAGTGAGCTCTGTGTTCTCAGTGGCAACAGTGACTGTGACCCTTTGAAGACATCAAGGTGTCACACAATGGGTGTGGGGTCAGTGTGAAGTCAGCTGGGCTCTGCCTCTCCAGGGGCTGTGTGTGTAAGTGTAAGGCTTGTCAGTAAGAAGGAGGGAAGTACAGGCTCTTCCGGCTTCCCTTTTTCTCCTGGCATTTAAGTTACCTATTAAACTGTGGCTGCCCTGTCTCCAAAGCCTCCTGAAGAAGTCTTGTTGGCTGCCACATCAGAACACTGAGAGAAGAGCACCTAAGGATTCCCAGAGAGTGAGGCAGGGCAGGACCAGGGAATGAGGGAAACATGACTCAGAAGGCACATAGGAGTAACTGGTGTCTCAGGGAGGATGAGGATGCAGAGCTGGTCCCGCAGTCTGGCTATAAGTTTGTCGGTGGTCTTGACAAACCAACTTGAAGGGTAAAGGTGAGTGAAGGATGCACTCTGTGTAGTAATTAATAGGTAAAGCATTCAGTGGCTGGTGTAGGTTCTGAGGATTGTTCAGAGATAGCTTGCATGTTCTGGTCAGACTCTCACAGGAGCTATGTGTGTGCTACATGAACCAAATGATTCTGTGCATGGCCTGTGCCTCTTGCTGAGTTTTTTGGGAAGACTCACAAAACAGTTAAACTATTTCTGTTCTCCAATAACAAAATATTTATGCTTTGTGTAAATTGCTCTCCTAGTTTGATTAATGTGCTGGGTTTGAGTAATAGTTGCACTTAGTGATGTAACAATCACACCTGAAAGATTTCCTTCTTCTGTTTGTAGATGGATGGTGATAGCTCCACAACAGATGCTTCTCAGTTAGGAATTGCTGGAGATTACATTGGTGGCAGTCACTATGTGATACAGCCTCACGATGGTAAGAAATGAGAGAGTAAATACTACTGTTTCTCTGTGTGTGCGTGTATACATATATTTTCTTTCAGTTCTTGTATCATTCTCTGCTGTCTTCTCTCAGGCTAAGAATTTGCTATTGTTTTCATAATGTCTCACTCTATAAAGCATTTTGTCTTCAGTCTGAAGGGGGGAGATTGAATTTTTTGATGTTGGCACAGAGACCTTGAGGGGATGACAAAAAAATTGACATTCTAGGAAACAGTTTGTATTTTGACATGGCATTAAGAATGGTTGGTGATCAGCAGCCATGTACACTTCTGTGCATAATGTGATAAAATGCCGTCTTTATAAAGGTACCCTGATATTGCATCTACTTTAAAAATTATTTCTATGATGTTAGCACACTGTGCTTTCAAAGGTCTTCATCCTTCAATGTAAGATTTTAAACTGAATTATTGCCTGCTGTCAAATATAATTTCTGTTAACTTTTCTTTGTTTCATTAGACACAGAAGACAGCATGAATGATCATGAAGATACAAATGGCTCAAAAGAGAGTTTTAGAGAACAAGATATATATCTTCCAATTGCAAATGTGGCAAGGATAATGAAAAATGCCATACCCCAAACAGGAAAGGTAATACTGTTGTCTGGTAAAGAAAGTGTGTTAATGAGTTTTATTCCTTCCTCTCAGTGAGCTTGAGCTGGTTAGAACAAGATCTTTTTCCAAATGATGCTGGTTTATTGGGAAAAAGTGTTATAAGAGGAAAGGGAAAAAAAGCCCAGGAGCAGGAGGTGATTGAGACCAAGTCCATTTTTCTTAGATTTCTGAAAGCTTTTATTAACAGCTGTAATTAGAGCATCCAGAACTGTTCTTCATAGGGCTTTCAAGAGCTTCCTTTTTCGAAGATGTGTTCTCTGAAATAGTCGTAAATTATCAGACTTGATGACAATCACTAAGAATAGTTTTTTACTCTGTTTTCCTGAGAGATTTAGTCTGCTTTCCTTGAGGTGCATAAAATTTGGAATAAGTGTATCATCTTGGCTGAAATAGAAATCCGGTGCTCATCCTGAAGGAAAGAGAATGGTTAGCCTTCTGTCACCCGAATATTCACGTACCCAAATGCCAAAGTGACCTAAGAAGTCTGCTTTATACCATGGAGCAGATAAGGCCAGATATTGAAAGCCTTATTTATTTCTTCCTTCTAAGAATAGACTTTTTAATCCATTCTGCTGAGCTAGTGATTGTATAAGTATTTCATCATTCTATCTGTTTATCTTAAACCTTTGCAGGGCTCCTATGACTTGCTGTTTCTCTGTTGTATTCCAATACAATTCCAGCCACAGTAACATTTCTGTGGCTAAAACTGATCTCTCTTTTTGGAGATCGCTCTAAGTAGAAGCAGGACATAATTTACTTGCATCTGCTTGTATTTTCATAGTGTTCAGGGCTTTCTGGAGATCTGGATGTTACATTTATAACTTTGCCAGTCCATATTGTCATAAATTTTTAGTGATCAAGATGAGATTTTTCTGAAGAATTTAGCATATGGGATGTAGAGCTATCTTGAAATATCAGGGTTTTTTTGGTGAAAAACTGCAAGGGAAGCTGCTGGCTGATGACTTCTTTTGAAAATCTCACCCTATGTGTCTGAAAATACCAGAGAAGCTAGTGAAGACTCTGCACACAGTTACTGCTTCAGTATTTTAGGTTCTTTTCATGTGAAGAATAAGAACCTTAATTATTTTAACCTATTTGTTGACTCCTGTCAGTTTCCCAAGTAATCATCAATCATGAGTAATACATGTAATACTTGCTGTAATTTTAAGTTGGGTAAATGACTTTTGTCCGGCTGAAAACTGTAATCAAATTTACTTATTTCATTCTTGCCTAGGCATATGTTTATTCATTTGAATTCTCATTTGGTAAATTTATGTTAGAATACTAAAGCATTAGAAAGGCTTAATGCTAGGGGCATATTCTAGTCCTTGAATCTGGGCAGGATAAAAATACTTGTCATTGCTGAATTTGTGGGAATGTACTGCAGTGGGGTTGGAATTACCAGGTCTCTTAAAAAGAGGAGGAAGTGGGCTGTGACATTGTAATGAACAGGTTTAAAGAGATGTAGGTAAGCAAAGGAAGAGGCATCTGTGTGTAAAAGCTTGTACATTACTTAGGACTTTAGGAGATCCTGGAAGCTGGCTGTGCTGCTTGAAATAATAAAACATGGGTAAAATCACGTTGCAGCTGGTCTTAGTAGAGCAGTGAGGACATCCAGTGGTTTGCTGTGCAGGTGTTGCCTAAATGGGTATTATTGGGTTTTGGGATGTTTCCTCTATTATCTTTATTACCTGTATTTGGGGGGATTTGTGGTGAGTTTTTTAAAGTCTTCTGTCTTCATTAATGATGATACATTTTCCTTACTAGATTGCTAAGGACGCAAAGGAATGTGTACAAGAGTGTGTAAGTGAATTCATCAGCTTTATAACATCAGAAGCAAGTGAGAGGTGTCACCAAGAGAAAAGAAAGACCATCAATGGAGAGGATATTCTCTTTGCCATGTCTACCTTGGGGTTTGATAGCTATGTTGAACCTTTGAAGTTATACCTCCAGAAGTTCAGAGAGGTCGGTATATATGGGTGTTTCCTAATTTATTTAACCTGATTGTGTTTATCCTTAGCTCTCTGTTGTTTTAATTGTATAATGGGTAACTTGCACATTATCTCACAGCTCTTGGTCAGGGGGTAATGTAATGTTTAAAAGCATTCCAGAGGATGTCAAGAGAAAAAGGAGGAAGTAAGCATTTTGATTAGACCTGCTGATTCAGAGTAGTTAAAGCTTTCAGCTGGATAAATTCTCTAATGTATTGGTGGTAGTAAATTGGTCTGCTCTTTAAAGGTGCCTATTAAGAATGTTTAGTTCGATCTTTGGGTTCAGTCAATATGTACTGACTATATCCTCTGAGGAACTGGCCTAATGCCTATTGTTTGTCTGGACTTTGGATCTGCAAAAGAAAAAACTGTTTTTCTCATGTTGGAATAATGATTCACATGGAAAACTATCTTCTTCAATGTTTTTTTTAAAATTATTTTTTTAGCCTGTCCCTTAGCTTGCTTTTGATACATAGTACATGCTAGGTACATGATCCAAACAGTTTAATTTATCCCTTCTCTAGCAGAAAGTGACTTTCTTCCTTTCAGCAACTGAGACCTTTTTGAGAAGAAGTTGCTCTGCTTGGATTTTTTGTTCTGGTCTGCCTCCCCTTGTCTAAATTGGCAGTACAGTAGATAAGGATGCTCTTCAGAGTTTCTTTGTTTTGTAAACCTAAGGTTTTTTTAGGTCAGACTCGCTAATGATATTTGTTTTGCTGACAGCACTCGAAGCTTCCCATTCCCAGAAGGTCATTTGCATGATAACTGAGTAACAGGAGGTGTAATACAAAGTTGGGGTAGTGCTGTGTGCTGTCCTTTTCTGCACATGCTATGATTAGTGCTGTAGGTGCTTCTATTAGAAAGGCAAGTATTGCCTAACTAGTTCCAGTTCATACTGAATAAATCTGAAGTGAGTCTATGCTACTTTCATTCTTAACTGAGAATTTTTGCAGATTATAGATGTTGTGGTAGCAGAGTAGTTGGATTGGGTTTTAATTGTGTGGATGGGTTAAATAGCTTTACTCATCGGTTTTAAATCTCCATTCAAGCAAGGGTGTCTTAAGGGTGAAATACTTCTGTTTTGTATCTGAGTATTTTGTCTGTAGCAAGCAACTGCAGAGAATCTTTTTTTTATGCCCACATTATTTTTCTAGACTTTCTTTAGTAAATAGCATAGAGCATCAAACTTCAAACTTGTAAAACTGCATGCAGATCACTGGAAGCCTTGGCTTTCTGTGCTGATATCCTTTCTGGCTGTAGTCCTTGATGTGGGAGAAGAAATTCCACATCTTGGTTTTAAATGTCAGCTCTTAGTTTATGGTGATGGTGCTTGTGTGTGGTTGGTAAGCAAATGTTGCACATTCTTGGTGGGTGAGATTCTGTGATTTCTTGTAAATGATCCTTCTGGATTGCCACAGATTTTGAACTTTATACAGAAGGTGAAGAGCCTTTCTCAGAACCACACAGTCCTAGTTTGCCAAGTTTTTGTTTCATGAGTATGGGTAAGATGAAAAACACTCATGTAATATGCACATTCTCAAATCCCATAGAATTTTACAGGTCTTGGATTTCAAGCTCCAGCTGTTGTGCTGTGACTCTTCTGCAAGTTTCAAACCTTGGCTAAAGCTCCTGGGGCTTTGAAAGAAATCTCAAGTTTTCTTCTGCTTTTTTATGCTCTCTCTTCTTAGGCAATGAAAGGAGAAAAGGGAATTGGGGGAACAGTTACAACTGGAGATGGTCTAAGTGAGGAGCTCACAGAAGAAGCATTTAGTGAGTAATATTTTTTAATTTATTATGTTATTAATACAGCTTTTATAAAAACTTCCTTCAAGCATCAGCATTCCTACTTGAGGAATATATCCTGGACTAGTAATAGCTCAAGTCAATTGTGGAGAATTTATAAATGCATATATTAATGCTAGTATTTTTCTCTACACTTAAACACAGGTTGTAATGAAAGGTGCAAATTGTTTGGTTTTTTTTACTTTTCCCTAGTAGCTACATATTTAGGCCCCATTTATTCTACTTGCAAGACTATTTGGGGGAAGAAAGTAAAATGAACTCCTCTTGATGACTTGAGGAGCTCATCTTTAAGAAATGAGGCATAGAAGAAAACCATCTTTGTTCTAAAGAACTTAGTATTTCCTACATTCAAGAGAATGCACAGATTGGCAGCTAGAAGGTGTAGGGTGAGGAGTATCCTGTGCATTCAGTGTAGTTTTTCTTCCTTTTACTGTGGATTCAAGCCTGACAGTTTTTTGGGATTTGTACTGATTTTGTTGGTGCTGATTCTTGCATTTAGTCTCCCCCTTGGCTTTTAAATGTTACAGGCTGGTAATGTTGAACCTGATAGCAGAGGAATCAGGAAGAACAGAATTTAAGTATGTGATAGGTATCAGTCTAAAATCACCTGTAAACTATTGAACTAGCAAAAATTCAAAGCCAGAGGACTAAAACTAAAACAGGCATTCTTAATGCCTGTTCAGGATTGGAAACACACTTTGCTCTCAGTTTGACTTAGGCTATGTAAAACAGTGCAGACTTGATGGGTCTCTTATAGCCTGGAAGAGGAGCTTATAAAACTGGCTGGGAATTAAGAATCTAAATATTGCAAGGGTCCCTTGCAATATTTAGATTTAGAGTCTTAATTTCCAAACGTAAGAGCTTCAGAGAGCTCCATGAAAAAACTTTATGTTACTGTGACTTGAAAAGAGCAACTTTAGAACTGTCCTGGCAGGACTAAGGATGCAAAAAAGATGTTGCATAGTAGAAGAAAGTAAAAAAGAAAAAAAAATTAAAAAAATAATATTAAACAACTGATCATGTCAAGCATTGCAGGTATTTCTCTCTACAGGAGCAGCTATAGATCTGTCTGGAATGAATGATGGTGTCACTGTAGCAGTAGCAGTGATAGCTGTGGCTCTTTGTGGTGGCCTCATGCCAGGGCTGGGTCAGGGACTCTCCATTAAGCTGTGTTGGATGTGGATGTGCGCATTGACGGGCAGTAAATTTTGGACCTACCAGAGCCACTCTCACTATGATCTTAATGCATCTCTTAGCCTGCAACTGAAGCAATTGAAAATTTGTTCAATGAAGAAGGAAGGGGGCAAAAAAAAAAAAGACAGCAACCCTGACCAACCAACCAAAATTACAATTACAAAACCCTCAAGCATCAGCTTTCAAATGAAAACTGTTATGGATTGTGCTGTGCTTTCAGAATTTTGTATTGGTTATACATCTTGTTTATACTTAGTAACTGAAAGAACAAAGCCCCATTGTTTGTGTCCTAGGGTAAAATATGCTAGATTGACTTAACCTACAATTTTAAGAGTTTTGCTGCTTTGCTTCCAAGTAGCAGTTGTAAGGCACCCACTCTGAATGTGAGAGCTCAGCATACACGTTGTGAAGGTTTACCTTGGGGCACCACTCCCTGCCTTTTCTCTTGGTATTTCAGAAGTATTTCTTACTCGTTTTGTTGGCCACCTCTTTCTGCTGTGAAATCAGAGCTCTTGTGTGTGCCCTGAGGGACATACTGAAGTCAACCAGTGCAATGTCAGACTCTGGCAGTGCTTTTTGTTTTTTGTCATTGCCTGTTCATCTCTTCTGCCTTCCTTGGGACTTCTGTATTATGGAGTTCTTGATGGATTCCAATTTATAAAGCAGCACAATGATTTAATTGAGTTGCTCCCCCATGGTTATGCTCAAGTGCTAACTTTGTGTTTAAACAAAGCCAACTGAATTCTCCAGGTTTCTTGGGACACTGAGTACTGGAGATGGCCTTTTCAGTGGTCGTGGTGGTGAGCTCCACTCCATTTGCCTGTGTACAGGTGTGGACATTCTGCTTACTCTTGGAGCAAAATTACATTGGATTTTACATGTTTCTTGTGAATGGGAAGAAACTTGTTCACTTGTAGCACTTGGTAACAAGTGTGACTATACCAGTGTAGGATGGTAACTTGGGAGATTAAGGGCTCTCCAGTGCCCTGGAGGCTCTGTATATCAAGCAGTTCCAGCCTAACATTTTTAAAATGCTATTTCTTTTAGCTAACCAGTTGCCAGCAGGCTTAATAACCACAGATGGCCAACAGCAGAATGTTATGGTCTACACAACATCATATCAACAGGTATGATCCTCTATCCTGTCCCCTACTCTCCCTTCTGCTGCTAAATCCAAATACTAGTTCAGCTGCTCTGTTCTGAAATATGGGAATTAATTTTATTTAGTCCTTTGGTGATGGCTGTCATGCCACTCCAACACTGAGAATTCATAGCTGCTTTCCGTGAGCTGCTCTGCAGTTTCAGAAAAGGTGCAGTGGAATGTAAGCTTGTATTTTCTTTCTCTAGATCTCTGGTGTTCAACAAATTCAATTCTCATGATTTTGAAGAAAACTTTCCATCTGGGAACACAAGACTGAAAACGTGCAACTCTAACGAAGAGGCAGTTTTAATGACTGGTGAAGAGATTTATCTCTTTGTATATTAAATAGCTGTAATGTAGCTACCAGAAGCTTGACTAATTGAGGTGTGAGTTCTGACTCAAATCTTTTTCATGATGATTTTAAAGAAATAATTGGATTTTAAAGGTATTAAAGTATTTTTGTTTTGTACAAGAGTTTGTTGCTCTGTATAACTCCTGTATGCATTGTATATTGCAATTTATTACTGTCAGAGATTTGTAGACAGTTTCTTATTTTCATATTGAATCATGTTACTTTTGTAATTCAGGTAAACAGCTGGGTTAATTCATGTTTACCCTTTGAATAAAATTGTAAGGGTAAAGTTCATTTTTGAATGCAAGTTGCCTTTATTATAAAGATTGAGTTAGTCTTGGTTATGTAATTTGTCTTGCATGACAACCTCAACTAACTTTACATGTCAGCTTATTTATTGAAATTTTGAAAGGGACTTTTTCCTCATGAAACTAGCAGCTCAAAAGAATTGCTACAATTGTTTTTTCTAATGTAACTTCTGAATTAAAGGTTAATCAAAACCAATGAATTCTCTACTACGTTTAGAACTTTAGGGCTTACCAACAGTATTAATGAAAGCACTGACTGTGCGATGCAGGTTTTTCTTTCTTTAAAATTTTTTTCAGTTGCATTAACTCTCTTTAGACTTACTTTGATACTTTTAAGGTAGTCTTTCTGCTGTTGAAATAACTCTTCCTTTTTATGTATGGTTTTTAGAATCCCAAACTTAGAAATCCAAGGGTAGGGGGGATTTTATAATCCTTGTGGTAAAAGATCTCATTTTAACTTTTTACTGAAATGTTTTAACGTTTCTTGTGAGCCTATGGGAACTCAAAAGTGGTAGTGACTTTCTGTGTCCAGGCTGCGTGGTGTGTGTGTGTGTGAGGGTGTGTGCATGAGTGGCTGACAGCTGAACAAGTGATACAAATCTGAAATGGAAGATGGACTTCAGGATTGCTGTCTCTTGCCTGGTTTTGCAATAGACTCTACCTAGGTAATGTAGTTCTGTATATTTAGTGAGCTGTTCTTGGTGACATTGCTGTTTCTTTAATAATTGGGTGGGTAATTTTGTTGCCTTGTCTTAGCCTATTAGGGTAGGGATGGGGGTTTTAGTAATATCTTACTCAGACTGAATTTTGGGACCTTTGTACTGTTTGCAGTGGACTGAAATGTAATATATTAATTATCTTTCCACATGCCTGTTATTAATTTAAGCAAACCACACCTTGAGACTGTTGCCATATGATTTCTTGCTGGTTTTGTCCTTTCTTAAAAAAAAAAAAAAAAAAAAAAAAGAAAAGAAAAGTAACAGTGCAACAGTGGCAAAATTAGCATAACCTAAGATATCCCAGGAGCCTGAAATAGGCAGTTCTTTAGCTAAACAAAAGCTTTATGAGCAGATTTGAGCAGTATTTTTTACCAGTCAGCATCCTGCTGGCTGAGCCTCTGGAGGCAATCCAGTGTAATCTGGGGCAGTCTGCATGGATGTTCTGGGTTTTGTGGCAGCCTGTCTTCTTCAGCAGCTATGGCTAAACAAGTGGAGTTTCTCATTAAATGTAAAACTGAATAACACAATCCCTGCACAAGCCCCTTCTGTTTGTATTCTGTTTATTTCAGGCCAGCATAGCCTATTATTGCTGTTCCCAGATTTGCAATGGGAAAAAAACTATGATACAAGCTAAGGAGAAGCTAGGAAAGATTTGGCATTTTGATGTACTGAAGGCGGGTTGAGGTGATCCCACACACTTGAAACAAGCAACATTTTTCAGGTTCCCCTCTCTGTTGTGAGTTTAGGTTAAAGTGTGTTAAGTTTGTGGTTTATACACCATCATGTGCACAATGAAGCAGATACTTTGTTGTTCTTTTTTCTTTCTTCTCCCCTCACCCTCTGAGGGCCAGGGAAAAATTGCAACTAATTTGCTCATTATTTTCCTGAAGCTACAACAGTAAATAATAGTACAACACTGTTCCATGTCTCGCTGAAACCATTCTCCTAATAAAACTTTGCAGGGTACTGTAGCCATGGTACACCAAATAAAACAAATGTGGTCTGAAGAAATACTTGCCTAATTTGTATTAGCAGCAGCACAACTAGTGCATTCTTTATATTTGTTCAACGAATCTTGTTCTCATTTTGCTCTTTTTAAGTGTTTAAAGTTTATATGTAGAGGAGACCCAAACCAAGAAAAACCATTCTTCCTACATCTCACCTGTTCCTACAAAACTCCTGTCTTTGGTCCTCTGAATGATTTGTTTGAACTAAGATACCCCCAAACTCAGCTTGAGCTTAAGACAGCTGTGGCAGCCTATACTAAGACTTGGAGAAAGGCTGCTTGAAATAGCAGTGATGTTCAAAGATCTTTTTCCAAGAATAGTGCCTTGTTTTAGGTGCCTTTTCATGATACAAACAAGTTTTGCCACAGTAATTTTTTTTTCAAATGCATTTTTGTGTAACTTGATCTTTTTGGTATTTTTATAGGGTGCTTTTGGTGTCTTTAAAACACAGAAATGCTGTTATCTCTAGTCAAAGTGCAGTTATGAGAAAAGCTAATTTAGGTGGTGTTCTTCTACATCCCATTTCCATTACAGGCATAATGGGAGCAGAGGCTCTGCCTTTACCAGTTATGTTGATGTACACATGCATTGTTAACTATTTTATTTATTCCTCCCTTCTGATCTTTACTGAATGCTAAAATATGTGGCTGGATCGTGTATAGGGCTGAAACAGTCCTATAGAAAGAAGTTTGATAATATTAACTCTAATGGTTACTACTATTTTTCCCCTGTTACACTGGATTGGTGAAAAGAGCAGTGGTGGGAGGGTGCCTTTTGGCTGTGGTGTACTGTAAGACATGTACCTAGTTGAAAACACCAACCAATTTTTCCTCTTTGAAAATCAGATATGCTGTCCTGGCAAAATAATTCACACTTTCACCCTTTCAAAGGCTGAAAAATACATTTAAGCAACCAAATATTGATCTGTTTACCTACTGATTTGTGAAATTGGCATGGTAATGGACTGCAATGTCCCCTCTGACCTTCAGGATGTAAAAATTTAATAGGAAGCTCCCTGGAAACTGCCAGTTCAGCTTACAGTGACATCCAAGGCCACGTGCTCTTGGGAGAGAAGGCAGTTTGCTGCTATGCACAATAGTCTCCAAATTGGTGCCAGCTGCAGTGAGTTTATTAAATCCAAGTCCCCAAGGATGGCTGTGGAGGCAGGGCCAGAGGTGATGCAGTGCACAGCAGCTCTGAGGGAGTTGGCTACCCTGCTTTAAGAAGTCTTCCAGGCAAATTTCCAGGCTCATTTCCTGGAATATTTTACTGCAGCACGCCAGGCCAGAGGACCCATTTTTCAGAGCAATGGCACCTGATTTGCTTATGTATGAAAGAAAACTATTGAGGCTTTAAATCTGCTGGGCAGAGGAGCAGCCTTTGGCCTGCTGATTTAATGTGTGTGTGCCTGATACTTACCCAGCCTGTACAGCAACCTGAACAGCAAATAAAACCACCTCTAACAGCACAACCAAGACTCAGTTCATGTGCAAGGGCCATGTCGTTTGAAATACAGCTGCAGCTAAAACATTTGCAACAGCACATTAGGAGTAGAATATACTATTTCTACTTCTCTCTGCACCCTGTGGGAAGACAGTCCACCACAGCAGATCTCATGTCCCAGCACTGTCAAGAGTAGCATGACACAGATCTGGGATGCTGGGATGCCCAGGTTTGTTTCTCCACTGTCCAACTCCTGCTTAGCCCCATCCAGGAAATCCAAGCCCACCAGACATCTGAGCTCCCTGTGCAGTGCAACATCCTGGGAAAAGCAACTTGGTGAACAGGGAGATGTCTGCAGCCAGCTGACAGGAAAAGCTAAGCACTGAGGGAGAAGGGAAAGGATCTGAAATCTCACCTCTAGCCACCTGGAGAGCATTTCTGCTACAAGGAAACAGGCTCCAGCACTGTGGGATGAGAACAGGGAGACTTCAGAGCCTGGGGTGTGCTGCAGCAGAGGATGAGTCTGCTCTCCATCCAAAACCACAAGCAACAGCCACGTTTCACAAGCCAAGCAGCTGAAACTCATCCAAAATGTTTTTGGAGTAGATGCAGTGGGATCAAGTTCTGTACACACAAGAAGAAGAAATATTGACAAAAACTGGCCATTTTGTGTTGTCTGGCTTGACAGCTCTCATGTTGCTTCAGATGGCTGTAATGTAAGTAGCTGAAACCTCAAGCTGTTAGATTGGTATTTCAGGTTTTCTTTTTCAATACAGTAATTTTCAAGAGCTGCTCCTAGACTCCAAACACTTTCCTTCTGGAGCAGGCAGCACTTAAAGTCAACATATAAAGTCTTTTCCCTACTCAAGCAAAACACAATGAAGAAATAATTAGGAAACTACTACTAAAAAGAAAAGTTTGGGATATTTGTTAATACTACTCAAAGTTACAAGATAACTGCTTGTACTTAATAACTTTTTGTTAAAAGAGAATTGCCAGCACTGCATGCAAGAGTGATGGTTACTCTAAAAGGCAGTTAAGAATCCCTGGCAACAAACACATGAGTAAGTGAATGGAAACAAAGAAAAAAAACAAACCCCAAAAACAAAACAAACAAAAAAAGGATGCAAACAAAACCAACATTTTGAACCTTCTAAAAGGTTTTGAACCTTCTAAAATGGCATATACCCAGTATGCTTCTTTTAAGAATCACTTTGAAATAACTGTGTATTGATAACTTCCATGTGTGGGTAATAGTATTTTATAATTTCAACAGATACAGAAATAACTCTCTGAACACTAGGACACACTGAAATGCTTCATCTCTTCTCTTTGAAGATACCACATCCAAGCCTAAGTTTTCATTTTAAGGAACTGCTGTACCAACTTAGCAGTTTCATCAGATATTAAAAGCAGATGCCTGTTAGAGGCAAGAATCCCCTCAAAAAAAAAACCCAAACAAAAAACAATGACAGCAAACTATGCCCAGCCCCAATTTGAGAGATATTTTTGTTGTTCTTGTCAGGACTGTAAGCCCAATAAGTACAATTAAGTACTTGAGGCTTTTGAAGGATGTAGGGAAACAGACCAAGTTGAAATCTACCACATTTATAGATGCCAGATTTTACCATCTAGCATGAGGCACGTAAAGGGGGAGTAAGACAAAGAGGCCCAGTAGCTCACACACATCTCTTGGGCCTTCCTGCCATCCTAACTCCTCTTCCAGGGGCTGCAGGAACTGGGCATTCATTCTCTGGCTGAGCCCCACCACCATTCATTCATGCTGGGATCCAGCTGGGTGCCCACCCTACCCCCACACACCCCACATCACGGAGATTTCCCCTTTGGGGGAGGCGCTGGAGGTGCAGTATTCTAAAGACTACGGATCAAGAGGGTTTATTTTAAGCTCATCTTCCCAATACTTTAAGCTGACTACTTGAAATTCTAATAACAGGGATTTCCACTTCCAGACCAATGGCAAACACATCAAAATGAAGATTTCACTGCTATTAACAGAAGGAGGAACACATTGCCCAGACAATGCCAGCAGTCAGTGCTCCACCCCTGTCCTGGGAATCTGGAAATGTTTCAGTGTCAGAACTGGAAACCACAGAATAAAAGCCCTGATGTTTTAGCTCACTAGAAATATTATAAAAATACCCTAGGGACCAGCTAATGCTATAAAGAAAAATAAATAAATCTGAGTTGTTTTTAAGATAAATTCATACAGCAAATTCAAATTTGCCTTCAAGAGAAAATAACTCGTACTCTTAAAATCTTATTAACAGAAAGAAAACAGCACAAGAGGATTCTTTACTGATGTTTTAGGTTTTCCCATTTGTTTTCCACTAATGCAAGAATCATAAATAACAAGCCAACAACCATTATTACAATAGCTAGGAACACAAAGAAGGAATCCATCTGGAGCAGAACTGCTTTTAGCAGTTTCTCATGTGAAGTCTCTTAAGGTCTACAAACAATCCAGTAGAGATTTCAGTTCATTTGCTCCCCTCTGCTCTGTGCAAAATGTACTGCTTATTCCCTCAAGAGTTCCCCATTGTCAGCTGCCATAAAAGATGGAGTAATTTTGAGTAGAGCTGGACATGAACACAATTCAAATCCTTAGTAGGAGACTTCTGAGCACACTCAGTGCTCACACATCTTTTTAACAAACTGCAGCGGAGCAACACCAAACTCCTTGTCACTCATTGTCAACAGCAACAGGACCCCTG